CATAAAGGTGTGCACTTTGGAGGAACACCTTTAATAGTTCCTGCATTGTCATCATCAAAAAAAATTTCGTCATACAATGCAGGATTAGTTTGACCGGACTACGAATCTATTATTAAAAGAAATTTTTCTTTGTTTACATATGATAATAATATTTCTTTTAAATATTGTGTATACAGATTTGTTGTGAGTTTTCCGGACTTCGAGGATGTTACCACGACATTTGTATATATAGTAGAAAATTTACTGATAGCTAGGTGGATACTTTTGGACCAAATACTCTTGTCGCTTCATGTAAACATAAGAATGTGCTTTAAAACATGTTGCAAATATTTTTACATGTTGCGCACACTTATTTATCTACTCTTTATAAAGACAATTAGTAATTAGTATTAATCTATTTAGTTTTAAAACCGTATTTTTTTAATCACATAGTTTTTATGCAAAAAATGCACTTTTATAACGTGCAATAAATTAAAAAAAAAACGGTACTTCCATTTAGAATAAACGAATTACTTACATTTAGATTATATTATGGAATTTAGAAACAAAAAGTATATCGAGACTCGAACCAGCAGCGTCGACATTACTAAATTAGTACGCTACGCGCTCTTCGATTAAACGATCTATTTAATATCCTTATAAAGTAACTCGAAATTTTCAAATTCGATTTTCTCGCGAATGCCTTAATAGTGCGTCTTATTACTTTATCCGGTAAGTATGTATAAAAACGGAGCACCTTTGGAGGTCAATGATCTTAACAAATGTTGTCAAGGATATCTTTTTAAACAACAATCTGCAACTTTTAGCCGTCGCTCGTTGTTCGTTAAAAACTTATAAACAAAAGAAATATTATAAATGATCTTTTATTGTCAGACACCGTGTATAGTTTGTTTGTGTTGTAAGCGTGTAGGCAGGTGGGTTGCGCCCCTCCGCAGGGGGAAGGGCTTTGCCTCTCCTCCCTGCTCCCCCCTCACGAAAAAATGAATGCATATAACAACATCAATATGCACGGTTACACTCACCATACAGTAAATCACAAAAAAAATTTCGTAGATCCTCATACTAATTGTCACACGCAAAACATCAAAAGAATTTGGCAAGATATACGAAGTAATATTCCACGTTTTGGGATCGATAGAACATTAATTGAATTCTTTACTTGACACTTAATTGCATTCTTCATTTTTTTGTGAAGGGAAAACAGGGGGGAGGGGCAAAGCCCCTCCTTCTGCGGGGAGCGTAGCCCTCCTTGCCTTCACGCTTACAACACAAACAAAATGCACACGGTGTCGGAAAATAACAGTTTATTGCCGCAACTTCTTTTGTTTATAATTTTTTAACGAATAACGAGCGACGGCTAAAAGTTGCAGATTGTTGTTCAAGAAGGTGTCCTTAACAACATATGTTAAGGTCATTCACCTCCGAAGGTGCTCCGGTTTTATACATATTTACCCTTTATCCTGCAATACTCCACATAGTTATCTATCGATCTTATAAATTTCGTTCCAATCGATTGGTACAACGTCGCGCTCTTCCCTTGTTAACTCGATTCACGTTCCAATAACACGCCGAATTTTCTAAATAATATTACAAATTTTCAGCCGCAATTTAATTCTGAGACAATCCGATAGTAATTCAATCTTGTCCGATAGCCCCTGATCTCTATCCGGTCACGGAAGAACAAATAAGATAAATTGCTTATAATAACCGATAGCACCCTTAATTCGTAATTCTTTCGCAGAATAATTAATTCAAACGTCGTCGCGAAACAGCCGAAAGCACCTATGCGATCCGATAGCTTGCGTTCTTTCACGATAATGCAAGTTCACATATAAACCAAATATAAACCTGGCAAATATAAACCCAAACATGGCTCTACTTAAGCTCGATAGCAACGTAAGATCCTCCGAGGCAAAGCGATCAACTTTGATAGAAGAAAGCGGGTTTTTTTGCTTGACGCAACGCTGTAGATTCGCGAATTCCGCCGCTCGATTACAGCTGCTCGCTTTACCAAAATAAGTAAAATAATAATTTAACAAACAAAGACTATTCTACTTTTATGCGATGCCGGCGGCGAACCAGTGCTTTCGAAACGTTAACGAAATCTCTAGAATAGTACCGTATTTTTTTACAAAAATAAAAAGGCTTCGTGCCTCACCGGTGCTGCCTTCTCGTGTCGCTTCCGTGAGTCCCTGACTCATCTCCTTTGCCTTTTCCTCTGACCTCAAACCACTCTCGTTCCGCAGCCTTGTCTTCCCTCTCAGAAGTCGCCTTGCATTTGCACTCAGAAACGCACTCTATCTAATTGTTTACTGCTGACGCTATGAGCTATCTGCTGTACAGACGGCGTCATTAATTCGAAGAATAGGCGCGGGGATCGGAGGGCAAGCGGGGCGGTTGCTCGTAGCGCCAACGGGCTAAATACTACGTCGTAGTTGTGGACACCTGATTGCTACTAGTTAGTTAGTACGGCGCCCGTTGGCGCTACGAGCAACCGCTCCGGTTGCCCTCCAATCCCCGCGCCTATTCTTCGAATTAATGACGCCGTCTGTACACTATACGTTATAAGCTAAGGGTAATGCTACTGCTATCTGGGTGAAAAAGCTAATTGCTTCTGCGATTCAGCCAATTTATAACCGTAGGACGGCATCGCCTGAAAAGAGCGGCAGGGGAAGATTCCTCAGCTTATCACATTGGGTAATTAATTCAGTTGTCAAGACCACGTATCTCAAAACGTTGCGATTAACAATTTTAATTTCCTACAGGCCATTTTCATGGTCGCGCAGTACCGGCCGTTGTTTTTATTTTTTGTGTTTGCTGATCGTTGTTCTGTCATGTCACCTTGCGTCTTGCGTAACTTTGGCAAGGTTACTGTCGATTTCCGTTATTTCAAACAGCTTCTCTGGATATTTTTGCTGTTACCCCTTAATGCCGCGCCTTTCAATGGCCGTGCTCTTTTTCCCATGTTTATGCCTCCACTTTCTCTTTCCCCGGCGTTCCTTGTGGCATCGCAGGTCCGTGGCTTTCCTGGGCGATTTTCCTCTACCTTGTCGTGGTGTCCGGGCTCAGGAGCGGTGAAGCGAGGAGCTATACTGGCGAAGACTCCTTTGAGTTCCTGGCAGGGTTACCCATGCCAGGAAGACTTTTGTAAAGCTTCTGTACTAAGAAAGGAAATAGAGAAAGGAAAACCTCGAACAAAAACCGAGGGTTCCCAGCCTCGTTTAGCACCTGTTGCCGGTAACTGGGCTAAGGGAGCAAACTCTGACTACAAATCCGGGACGTCCAGCTCCGAGAGTCGCTTTCGGGTCGGACACTGGACTAAGGGAAGGAAAACCCTGACTTCAAATCCGAGTAGGACGGGCTCGTTACCTTTGGTCGGGAACCGTCCGAGAAGAAGGAAAACTCTGAAATCAAACCACTCTTCAGGTTTTTCCATGGTATGAGATTTGAAAATAATTTTGACATACCGGCCCAGAGTGATCGGACACTCAGAGCCCGGCGTGGAGGTGTTGCCGTCCCAAGCACCCCCTCGTCGTCATCGCAACATGGGCTATCCTCCGCCTGCACCGCAGGGGCGGGGGACGAACCTGCTACTGCGAAGAAGCGTCAGGATGTCCTCGCGATAAGCGCAAGGAGAATGTTTGGGGCGCAAGTCTCCCTTTCGAGGGGAAGTGCAGGTAGCGCGGCCTCGAGAAGAGACAAAAGGAAGGCCCCGACGAGGAAGAGTTTCAGCTCCCCGGAATACACTAGCGTTATCGGATCCCCGCTACCATCCAGGGATTCCGATGTTAGTATGGAGGAGGTGGAGAAAAACGACGCCTTCGCTCCAACCCCCGGCACCGGTACTGGTGTGTGGAAGAAAGGGAGACCACCGACTACCGGCGAATACGTAGGGCTCGCCGTGGCTAAGGAGCGCCTCCTTGCCGCAAAGCGAGCGGAAGCCGCGCAGGAGCTGGAGAATCTGTGCTGGATGAGCACGAAAAAACTCAGATCTTTCAGCCCACCGGGTTTGACCTCTTCCGCGGCCGAACTGTTTGAGAAAACTCAAACGGCCGTGGAGGCGGTGTTGAAGGTGGCCACCGCGTCCTCGAACCTCTAAGGGAGGTATGTCAAGATTTTGAGGGACGCGGCGGCCACAATGAAGGAGGTTGCGGAGGCCGTGGTCGACTTCCCTCTTCGTGCGCGGGCGATAAAGCTGGAGCAGCCTGAGGAGAAGAGGCCTGGACAGTTGGTGGCAGCGAGGCCGGAGCAGGCGGGGTCTGTCGCGCTCTTAGAGGAGCGCGTCAAGACCCTCGAGGCGAAGCTCCGGCTGAGCAAGGAGGAGGCAAGAATCACGGCCTCCCGGTATAAGAAAGTGCGTGAGATGCTCGACGCGGCCTACAACAAGGGCTTTTCCCTTGTAGGCGCGTCGAGGAAGGAAACGGCGCACTGCGGACGCAGGCTGGTAAACCCGCATTGGTCCCGCAGCCACCAGCCGTGGCGCTGTCCATGATCACCGATGGACCCGCTACGGCCGACGCTGGCCTCCCAAAGGGTCCAAACCGAGGAGGAGGCCTTAGAACCCCTAAGGACGGATGTCCCCGCAACGGACCTCTCGGCGGAACAATGCGTCCGCCTTTTACGGCGGATCGGATCGGAGAAGAAATGGAGGGGCGAGTCGTCTCCCTAATTAAAAAGGAGCTCGCCTCCCCTGCGCGCCTGCCGCCGGACCGATCCCGACCACCTGGGCAACAGTGGTGGGACGCAGGGCGCGACGAAAACAACCCCTTCCTCCTTCCGTCACAGGACGTCTACTTCTCTCCGCCCAAACGGGCGAGAGCCAGCGCTTTAGGAGGGAAGAGAGGGGCAAACTCAGCAGGCTCCCAAGTGGGGCCGCCGTCCGTCTGACCGTGGAGGAGGGCGGCAGTTACGCCGAGGTCCTAAGGAAGGCAGAGGCCGCCGTGAATTTGAAGGAGGTCGGAGTTTCCGGCCTCCGGATAAAAAGGGCGGTCAATGGAGGCATGCTCCTTCAGATACCCGGGCCTGGAGGAGCGGAGAAGGCGAACGCCTTAGTAGAGAAGGCGTCAAAGGCATTGAAAGTCGAGAGGGTCCGGTTTACCCGTCCCGTTAAGCACGCCGAAGTGCGTGTCAGGGACGTGGTGCCATTCCTCACCCCTGAAGGTATTGGTGCTCCCCTAACAGCGGCAGATAGATGCCAGCCCGGTGAGGTTTGCACCGGGCTGGTAAGGTCCTCCCCTATCGGGTATGGGACCCTCTGGGCGCGTTTGCCCCTGAGAGCGGCCCAAAAGGTGGTGGGAGGAAAGCGGATAGAGGTGGGGTGGTTCAGCTTCCCCGTGGAGGCGCTGGTGGCACGGCGTATGCAGTGCTACCGGTGCCTCGAGTACGGGCACGTGGCGCGTACCTGCACCGGGGTCGACCGGAGCAGGGCGTGCTACAGATGCGGGGAAAAGGGCCACCTCGCCATCACGTGCCGTGCCGCTCCCAAATGCACTCTATGTGCCAAGGGACAGCCCTAGAACCACCAGATGGGTGGTGCGAAGTGCGCCCTTATCCCAAAGAGGTCCGCTACCGCCGGGCGGGGCGCCGGAACCACGGCTCCCCCGCCAACATCTGGCGGTGACGAGGACGGAGAGGTCTCAATTTCTCCCTCCCCAGTCAGGAAAGCGAGGAGAAAGCGGAGGGCCCGTGTAATCGGGTCCGAAAGGGACTTCTCCCTTTGGAAGGAGGACGGGGAGGCAGTGTACATCCTCTCTTCGGTAGCAAGTGTGGCCCGGCTGTGGCCGGAAGAGGGCGACGGATGGGAGGGCCCATCCACCTCCTCGAGTCAAGCGAGGACCGCGGATCCCGCCGCGGAAGAAGAGAAAGACGACGAGGGAGGAGGCCATTGCGGCCCTATCCTCTCCCGCAGAAAAGTCTTCCGGTTCCCGATGGGAACCGGAGGCCGAAGAAGAGGAAGAAGAGGAGGAGAAAAAGAGGGGGGGCGGTATCGCGTCTCCTCCCCCTTTCTCTAGGAGGAGTGCGGTCGGGGTTCAGGAGCCGCAAGGTTGCCGGGCCCCGATCTGCAAAGGGTGTGCGCGAAAGGCGTCTGGTTCCGAGGGAAGCTCCACCAGAGAGCCTTCCCCTAAGCGGCAGAAAGGGGCCGACCGTTCGACCTCCCCCTCAACCGGTGAAAGGAGGAAGCAGGGACCCAAGTCTTCCAAGTCGGGCCAGTAAATCCGGCTTGGAGGCAGTCTATGGCTCGGGGTGGCGGGGTTATGACTTGGGCATTACCCCTGGATCCGGCCCCAATTCTGAGGTCGCTTGGTTGAGGGACAGGGATGCGAAATTCTCGTACTGACCGCTTGTGACTTTGGTCACGAGGGACGGGGGGACTAGGCGTGCCAAGTTGGGGAACTTGACACGCCATTGCACAGTCCCCAGAGAGGGGCGACTTGAGAAGGGCTATGGCCCTTTCCTTCTGCCGCGACCCCAAGGGCAACGATGATAGGGGGCGTTGCCCTTGGGGGATTGTTTAAGACTATAGGGGGGCCCGAAGAAGTTATAGCCTCAACTGTGCCACGAGTCTCCCTGCCCAGGGATGCTAGATTCCGGCCGCACAGCTTCATGCCGTGTGCGTATCCCCTCCATGCTACCGCATGCTACCAAGTGGCCGGAATCTGGCATCCCTGCCCCTGCCAAGTCAGATGGAGGCCATTGAAGGGTTGTAGTAGGTGAGAGTCCCACACTCCCTGCCCCAAATCCCCAAGGAGGTGGGGGTGCATAACGCATTTCCCTTTATATATATATATATATATAAAAGCTTATGGGTACAGTCGGGCATTAGTGGTGGTACGCAACAAACGCACTGACACATTCAAGCGAACGTGAATTCTATCCTGGCACACTGACATAAAGAAAGAAACCAGGAATGCACGGGTCGAGCGTGACAGTTCGATACCACAGACAGGCCAACGGAGTTTCTCCAGGTTTTTCTCCGTCTTTCTCTTCTCACTCGTCGTCCTTTTAAGTCTAAGACACGGATCTCACTTACCGAGGACAGAACCTAGCAATTTAATGAGGAATTGATACAATGAAAGAGTAGTTAATGTTAGGAGTTGATTGTTAGTAAGATGAGGTCCATAAGAGTTAAATCAATTATATAAAGTTAGATTTCATATTTTAAATTTCAATTTTAAATTTTTTAGTATAAAAATATAATCACAATTGTTTATTATTATAGAGAGGTAATAGTAATTCCAATTATTGTTCAGTGACATGAATAAGTTACAATTAATTTTGTTAAAGTGACGAATACGAGGTCGTAAGGCTTGAAGCTCAACAGTCGAAAGAATGATATTATAAGTGGTTGGTACAATAAAGTTGAATGTTACAATATTCTGTAATCACGATTAAAGATTCGTGTATCTGAGTTGGTAGAAAATTTTGGTCTGAACTGTGTTTACAAGAAGATCATTACTTTCTCAATACACCAACACCACCTAGCTACGAGTCGTCGGTCGACTCCATTTCTGCAAGAGATCGTAAAATAAGAAGGGTTTTATTGTTCGGACAATTGTATTCTAACATAGGCGCTGTTTATTTGAATATGGATGACAGATCGAGATAATCAAGTAAACATATATCAAAATCTTTGGATATATTGGAATAATATTTAGGATTAAAATTACGTTAGTGGAGATTAAAATATTGGTTTGTGCATTAACATTATTAAGTACTATCATTGGCTGTGGGAATTGACGATCTTGATTGCTGCCCATACTCATACGTAAAAAATACATTGTGTGCGTTTTAATATAACTAGGCTCAGAATTGTAAACGGCGTTGTTGTTCAATTGGGTGGTAACGATGCTGATTTTCGGTAATGCAGCTCGGTGGTTGTTCGTGGCTGTTTTGCTTTGATTTTGTGCTGCTCGCGGATGATCGCGGAAGTTGAGTTAGCGGCGCTCTCAGGAGATTCGATGAATGAGGTGATTGCGTAATTTCTTGATTTAAAACGGACTGACTGATTGACTATTGATCACTAATTTTACCGTGTTAAAGCTGTACTTAGACTAATTTCCATTGACTGCTATCAAACTGTATTCTCGCACTGAACTGTTGAATTGTCTTGTTGAACTGCCTTGTGGAACTGCCCTGCGGAGTGAGGATCCAGCTTTGATCAATGCTGGCTGACTTCCCCTTCCCTATCGTTTTTTCTCGAAATTTTGACTTCTTGTTTGTTGACTTCCAGGGCAAAGACTTTTTCTCCTTTTGCTCAATTTTTCGGATCGATAGGGTCGTTGGCAGTGTTCACAGTTTTGGCTTCCTTACAGCATGCTAAAGCGGTGGATGCGCACAACAGCAGCGAGTCTATGCAATTAGAACTTGCTACTGTACGCATCCCTTCCACTGCTTTAGCATGCTGTAAGGAAGCCAAAACTGTGAGCACTGATTGTTGGTTTGTTTAGATCTCGTATACCTTTTTTTTTCTTTTGGGTATTTAACGTGCCTTTCAGCCACCTGCACGGTTTTGTTGGCTATACTACCATGATCAAAAAATAACAGGAATTTTTAATTTAAACCTCGCGGGCTTATCGGTTTAGAATTCTGTTGTTTGTGTCACGTTGGCAGCACTGTTACGGACACCCATGCCAAGCTTCTGCTT